ACTGGTCGACTGGCTAGTACAGTTCGACATTCTCTTCAGTTCTGTGGTTTTCTTCTCTTCCTTGCTACTTCGAGTATAGCTCTTCAGATTACAATAATAATTTAATAAACAGATATATGTTATATATATTTGTTATATATAACTAATGTATATTTTTATTATATATAATAGTATCGGGTCAGGCTTAGGCCGGGCCGGGCTTATTCGAGAAAGCCCAAGCCCACAGGCCTGAAATTTTATCCAAGCCCAAAAAATATCAGGTCAGGTCGGGCCGACCCGTCAAGCTAACCAGCACATGAACAGGTCTATTAACAAGGATTAAAGTATTGGCATCGAGTATTGTATGGAACAACTAGGATACGGATACGCTTTGGAAACACATAGATACAGACGAAAAATATGGAAATGCTTGGATACGCTAGGGAAACACATAAAAATTTCTTAATACATTAATAATGTTAAATTTAAGGTCAAATAATGTATAAATACATAGAAAATGTATATTTTAATGGTGTATATGAAAAAATGTATTGCAATAAATATAATAGGATGCATAGATATCATACAATTTTATTCATAATGTATCAATCAAGAGTCCAAAATGCAAAACATAATTTCCTATTATATTTCAATTATTATACCAATTATTTTTACTTTTTTTACATTAACAAAGAGGTCAACTGAAATATATCAAATCTATTAAAATTTCTAAGATACATATCATATGCAAATTCATAAATTTTAATTACTAAAATGATTATTCCATTATTAATAATTTTATTTCTATACTTTTTTAAAGTTAAAAAACTTTTTATATGAATGTAGATTAGTAGATTTGATAGATTCAATTTAATATTATATTTTTGAATATTTTGTAAACAATTTTTTATTTTCTAAATAATAAATATGATTTTATTTAATGTAAATTATATATATAATATATATACATAAGATACACATCATGTGCAAATTTATAAATTTTAAGTACTAAAATAATTATTCTCTTACTAATATTATATTTGTATAATTTTTTTGAGATTCAAATAATATTTTGAGATAAATGTGGATTTGACATACTATTTATTCTATTATTTTATAAAATACTGATTTTAAGTATTACTTTTTTAATTTTTAGTTGGAATTAACTTTATTATGTATTATTTATTTGAATTGCATTTAAACAATAAAGTAACAAAATTTATTTTATTTTACTCATAAACACAAAAGATGAAGTAGCATAATGGCTTGATGGATGCGAACGTTAAGAGCTTTCTTTGGTCCAAACTCGGGTTTGAATCCTTACTGGTCTCTTTTTAGTAGAAGGGTGTGCACATGTGCATTCACGTCTCGTGGGTAGCATATCGATGTATATCAGTCTGTGTCAATATGTATTGGCTGATACAATACGATACGGACCGATACACACCTGTATCGGTCCAATACGCACAACTGGCAAGACACACCTCCAATTGTAGCATATCCCATGCCAAACACTAACGAAACCGATACAATATGTCTCGTATCAGACGTATCGTATCAATATTTCAATCAAGGTTCAAAGTATCGACACGTATCGGCCGACCGATACGTATCGTGCCAATGGCTTCCCGATACGCCCCTCCAGGGGTTGTATCGGGTCAGACCATGGTTCAGAGGGTATCCGGGACTTAAACCGACCCCTCTGAACCGGTTTTGAAAAAATAAAAATAAATAAAACATAAAAAAAGCACCAATACGGCGTATCGGCCTATGTCGATACTTTGAACCTTGATTTCAATCCTTGTCTATTAGTACGTATTTGGGATCTGTTTGACCAAATCAACATTTCTAAGAACCAAGCAATCAAAGACCATTTTGTTTCCAGTTCCCAGTTCAAACTTTAGACTATAAAATCCAGTTCAAGTCTAACAAAACTGATGGAATATAACTTGACAAATTAAAAGGAAAATCAAATAGCACCAAAAGATATAAATAGAACAGTGGCAATGGTTCTAGCTCTGACCTGAAGTACCCACAAGCTCAGGAGTGACTCCAAACAAAACAACCCAAATCCAATAAGGTAGAAAATCTGCAGAGAAACAACATTAATTATATCCCAGCATTACTTGGAACAACACCCATGGTTTAAATAAACCACACTACTGAGTGAACGAGAACAAAGAGAACTTCAAAAGACAAGGATGGTTAAGTGGTTAGTAGGTCCAATCTTTAACACTTCTAACATTGTTTAGCTAAGAAAGTAAGAATGATTAAGGTTTTTTACATACATCAGAAACAACCTTCCCAGATTTTAATTCAGATTACATGTTTACAACATCAGAATACAATTCAAACAGTCTCCTAAAACTCAACCCAGAGGAAGATCTACTCCCAAAAACTTTGGGGACACCTAAACCAAGTCTACAATTTAGTGCCAATATCAGCATATAACATGTCAACATTCCTCTTTTTTTCCATCAAACAATCCTTTATTCCTCTCTCTGAGGTTACTGCAGCAGACTGCAAAAAGAAATGCAACTCCAAAAGAGTTTAGCTAGGGGTGCAAGTTGGGCCGAGTTAGGTCGGGTTGGGGTCAACCATAACTCAACCTGAGTTGAACCCCCAACCCTAACCCTATGGTTGGGTGGGTTGGCACCTGATTTTTTTACTTATTTCTGCTATAATCATCTTATTTCTTAGATTTAAGATCAATGGATTAAGGCTAGCTCACTTTAGCATTATAATATATACAAAGACGTAGTTATAGTGCATTAGAAGTAGTATACTTGTACTAGGAAATTTTGCCTTTAATTTTAGAATTGTTGATACATACATATTCATATGAAGAAAAATTAGGTTTAGGTTCAGGTTGGGTGAGTTTGCCCAAGGTCTCAACCCATAACCCAATCTGAATTTAAGTCAGGTTCATAATTTTCAACCGTAACCCTAAGATGAGCTGAACCCAACCTGACTTTTTTCATGTTGGATTTGGATTAGCTTCAGGATAACCCAGACCAAGTTGCAACCCTAAAATTGGCCTTTTTAGATCCTTGTATGTGTGACCACTGACTGACCACAAAGAAAAGATACCTGAATTGCAAGGTTTGAAGATTTGTAATCAAAATTGAGAAAAGAAGCTCCAAAAGAAATTCACCACACTGCATGAGATAAATGCCTAGTGTCTTTGCAATTATTGCACATGTAACATAAACTTTTCATCTTAAATTCCCTCTTCAAATGATCAATTGTGAGAATACAAGGTCAACAACCATGTAAATGCTTCCACTCCAGAGGTAATGGGATTTGTCCCTTTGTCCCAAATCCCCCTGATATCAATCTCCACCAGCATCATAGCAAGACTTAAACGTAAACTGACCATTGCAGTGTTCTTTCCACCATCCAGCATCACTATCATAAGGAGAAACTTGTTCAGCTTCAGGTTTTCTAAGAAAACAAATGTGCTTCTCAAGCTCCCAATCCAAAAAATGTCCTCTAAATGTTGGGCACCAAAACACCTGATTACATCAGTTCAAAATACTGACTAATAGTATTAGAACTAAACCTATATAATCTTGTGCATAGCTCACATAACTTCCCCACCTAACTCCATTGTCCAATCATATTCCCATAATCTTGTTCTTGATCCCTCCCCCACTTCAAATTTAGTAAACCCTGCAGAAGACTGCTAAAATTTCATAATCTCCTTGCAAACACACCTCTTTGTAGGTTTGTTTACCTCTTTCTCCTTGTTGGTTTCTCCCGCCTCATAAAGGGGAAAGGATTCATATAAAATCACTTCTTTAAATCCAAAATAAAACGCATTCCTTTCCCCAGCATTAAGGTTATCACATTAAGACAATGAGAAATACCAGTTCAATCTTTAATTACAAAGTATAGCTACAGTTTAGAGATACTAAACCAATTAGATTTCTATGCTATAAATCCCTAAGCGTGTGGCCTTGGATGAACTAATTGTGTCCAACAAGTTTGCAAATACTGGATAGCGAATTGAAAAGGAACACATTTTTAATGGCTCTTCTGTTCATAGTTGTGTTCATAGTTGGTAATTTCCATGAAGTCCCCTACACTTGAATTGAATCCCAGAATTTTTTTCTCAGTAACATGACCAAATGAAATGCATCAAAATAACAAAAAGAGTGAGAGCAAGCTGCAATATCTGTAAAAGACTTCCTAGGCTAGGATTACATAATTCCAATAAAATATTAACGATACTTCGGTCAAAATATTCCATTAGTTAATATTCTAGGAAATATAGCCAGAAAAACTGATGATTTGCATTGTAAACTTATTTTTTGTAGAAATAAGATATATTTCAACTGAAATTGCATTGTACAAGTACTATTTCAGGTTACTAAGTTGAAAAGATGTGTACACATTAAATAACTTACCCCCACCAATACATGGTCTGAGAAGACATCAATTGCAGCAAGTATACCCCTGAGATTGGAAAGAAAAGTTCACTTCAGTTTTCATGAATTAGGTGATCTGAGCTGATGATTCTGTGGTACAAAGAACAAAAAGATAAAAAATATAGCATGAGAACAGACCATGGCCTTGACCACAAGCACTCATGGAAAATAAATATCCAGCTCTCTGTATTCCTTCTTTTTTTTTGGGGGGGGGAGGGGGGAGGTTAAGGTTTCATGCAAGTATTTGTTTCTTTAAATAAAATTATTTTATCATCTTCAATTTGTTAGCCACAAATTCCTATCATACTTTGTTATGTCTAAACTCTCAACAGTACAGGGAGATTTTTTTCTCAAGAATCCTAGGATAACAAAATGTGCAAAGAGAGACTTGATCTAACTGGACAACTTCTTGGGAGGAGAAACACTCATCTTCCAAAATGTCATTATTTATTTATTCCTAGTCATTCCAACCAAAGGCAAAGGGATGCATATGGCTAAGGATACATCTGTTGATGCTCAAACTCATCATCAAGCTGTGATGAGCAAATGAACACTGTTCTGTTAGATATCACAAGTTCCAGAAATATCTAATAGAGCCTACATCTTGCTAATACTTACTCAGTAACATTTATCTTAATACATAAACTAATAGAAAACGAAAATAAAAACATCCAAACATTTTGTTTACAATTTTTGCATCGATTAGATGAGTTATTTCCCAAAACACATGAATAAGAAGGACTAAGTGCAGATTAACAACAAATATGACAGGTAAACTGGAAACAACTCCTATGTTAGTCATTTAATGCCAATTTCCTCAAGGAAATGCAGTAAAAACCTGATGTTATAAATCTACATGCAAAAGATTGCCATTTTACAGTTATTTATTCAGTTGGAAGACGTAACAATATTTCCTTCTCTCTACAACTCCAGATCAAAAGGCTAAATACTACCTTACAAATTCAATTTCCTCTCAATTAGAGAAAAGAAAAGGAAAGAAGAATAACAACAAAACTTACGTCAATGATTTCCCATGAAAGACGATTGGAGGGGCTATAGCAGAAAATATACAAAAACCAATGTGGAGCTGCACCACAGTCATACCATTAGCACAAGGACAAAAACTCATCAAAGAGAAGAGAAATGCTAACCAGATGTTAAAACATGTAGAAACTCACCAAGTAAAATAGGAAAAACCATCCAAACTTCAGTGCACTATCAGTCCTGTCAAACAGAAACAAGTAGTGATCATGAAAAAGTTAAATCCATACAGCCACACCATGCAGAAAACTTAATCTGTGTCTCCTATCTCAGCAGACACATTAACTACTAGAAGTTAAAACAGGCCCTATGATATTATAGGACTTCTTATCCTCTTCTTTTATACATTTTAATATATATTTAACAATAAATTTTCCGTTACAATCTAAAAAGCATTGGCCCCACAAGATCTGAATCATCCTCTGAAATCAAAAGGCACTAACGGTTTGGTCTAAGGATAAAACCAAGGACCTTAGGTAGGCCTCCACCAATAGGAGAACATTTTGCAGAAGGGGGAAGGGGTGACATGCAGTTGAGGAATGAATTCAGGAGATTTAAACGGCTGTAAAGGGACATGTCAATCCGTGTGAGATGGGTGAGGAGATCTGCCAACAGCTTGGCAGACAGCTTAGCTAAGCAAGGATTCAAAGAACACATGTTTTGGGCTCATTTGTAAATTTGTTTTGGATTGGTTTACTAAAGCTGGATTCTTTCACGACTTCTTGTATCCATAATTTGTTTTCTAATTAATGAAATTATTTCTGTGTTGCTGATCAAAAAAATTAAAAAAAGAGAACATTCTAACATGGAAACTCTAGCCACTAACAGTTTGGTCTAAGAAGAATGAACACTAGCTCTAAGGTGCTCTATATATAACATCCTCTAGCACAGACAGCAAAATGATCCAGAAAGATGGGTGAATAATTGGGAAAGTTACCTCATAGCACGATAAAGAGGCCTGTACCATAGGACATATGAAAGAGGACAACCAAGTAAAGCATAGATTGTTGCAAGGAAAAAGATTTTGACACCTGCAGATCATAAACCCTATTCTCAGGAGCTTCCAATTAAACAAAATTTATCAAAATAACTCTCTCAAGTGTAATGAATACTTGTTGTTAACCAGAACAACTTACCTCCGCCCTTAATCCAACATACAACCACAGCAAGAATATTGAACACAAGACAAAGAACTATACCTGCAAGAAAACTATTAACAATTATTTACTCTTGAAACATGGTTGTAGGGAAGTTATATTATGGAAAGGAAAATTATTACAAACAGGTAAACAGTAAACTTCACATATCCTTTGACTAAGAAAACTAGATGCATCACTTATTAACATGAAACTATACAACTGTAGAACTGGATAATAGCAACAAAAATTCTAGAATACTACTTCAGAGGTAAGTAACAACCCCATCTTCAATGGGCATAGTTTTTTTTTTTTTTTTTGATCAATAACACATTTCATTAATCAATCAGAAATATTAATTACAAACAAGGAGATAAACTTTCTTATCTCCCCAACTGAGGCTTGAGCCCCCATGAATAGAAGTTAGAGTTACAACTGACCCCAGAACATAGATTCCCTTGCCACCTCTTGCTTAGCTAACCCATCAGCAAATGAATTAGCTTATCTCTTCACCCAACTGGTCTTAACTTTCATGTCTTTAACCAGCCATCTAAACTTTCTCCTTTCATTGTTGTAATTCCATAACCCAGTATTGTCTTTATTCAGCCACCCTTTGGTATTTGCACTGCAGGTCTTAGAGACCTTGAGAGTGATAAGGTTATGGGTTTCATTCATCAATTATGACACTCTCCGATACCCATACTTGCATGTACAGGTGTCAGTTACAAGATCAGATACTGCATGGATACTTCTAGGTGTATTCTATAGCATTAAAACTTTTGAATTATGTAAAAGTGGTATGTTTTAACAAGTTATGCTATAAAAAATTTGCTCATTTAGAAACTTAATTAAATATGGCAACACACAAGTCTTCAGAAATGACATTCACCTCCAAAAACTAGATATAAATTCATGATATAAGCATATTACACAAGATACTTGTACTGTTATACCCATAACCATATCCATGTCTAGGAATTAAGAAAATGGAGAGTAGAATCCCTGTTTCCTATATTTGTGCCCATGTCCATATCCATATCTGGATTCTGGACAGCATAACTTATTGATTCGCCTGATCCAGTTTTTCTTCTCCGTAATGGATCTGATTCTAGAGTTTTTGAGCTTTAGAGCCCTAGGTACCTTCTCTTGCTCCTAGCTTTTCAAAAATCTTAATGCATTCCAACACACACACCTTTTTCTCTGGTAAGATATTTTGCGGTGGTTGGCATGTACTTTCTTAAATTAACAGAAAAATGGGAAATTTTGAGGAAAAAATGGGAAATTTTCAAGGGTGTTTGGCATGATTGACCTCCTAAAACAGAATCCTTCATTCCTGCTCTACTCAACAATATAATCAATTTATACAATCCAAGAAACTGAAACAACTCACCACTAACACAAGCAACATCCAATTAACCCCTAACCACAAGCTACTAATCCACCAACCTTCAGTTAAATAATGTTCCACCCCTCCTAGAAAATTTTTATCAGTAAGCATGTATTCTATTTAATTCAGATTAGAAACAATTTATACAACTTGGTGATGGGACTGATGATCCCATTTAATCACTCTTTCTATCCCTTGGAAACAGCCCAAAATAATTGCTGTCTCAATGCCCCTTGTTTTACTAGACAATCAGCTAGTCCATTTGCACTTCTTAGGACCCATTGAAATTCAGCCTCAACCTCCTTCGCAATCTTCTCCACTTCCCTAATCACATGTTGGGGTATGGCTGTTGTTTGCTGCCCAGGAAATGACTAGTTTTGAGTCCCCTTCCACTTCAACATGTCTGTATCCCATCTGTTTGGCTAGCTTCAAACCTTGTAGTAATGCCAAAAGTTCAGCCTTTAGTGAGTTTCCAGTGTCAACCGGTCCTAAGAACATACCCAGTATCCTCCTTTCAGAATTTCTGATTACTCCTCCTATACCTGATAGTCCCGCATTTCCAAAGGAGCTCCCATCAAAATTCAGTTTCACTTTATTGCCTTCTGGTGGTTTCCACTCCAGCCTTACTTTCTCTCTCACTCTCGATGACTGTGCTACTTCAGACCAGATTCTTAGAATGTCTGTGACTGAGAAGACTTAAAAGCTGTCCAAGGATTTTACCCAGTGAGCTACCTTCACCTTGATGCTATCAATCACTTCCTCTATTGTTCTGCTTTTTTCCAAGAAAATCCTATTATTCATTTTTTCCCACACTACCCAAGTACCCAACATATTGCTGCCTTTGTTGCTTTCCACATTACCATCCCCTCTTTTCTTTCGTTGTCTTAAGAATTCATAGTTGAAAAGTCCTGCCACATCTTGAGAGGGAGCCCATCTGCAGCAAAGAATGTACAAAAGAATTTCCAAATTCGAAACACAAAAGAACAACATGTCATTAAATGAGATAGGGTCTCACCACTTTCCTTGTACAAAGAACACACAGGAGGAGAAAGGCAAATGTATGGCCTTCTTCTCTACACCATATCACAAGTGTTTACCTTGCCAAGGAAAATTTACAACAGAAGGCCTGAATTTTCGGAGAAATAGGCTTGCACCAGATTTCTTTGACAAAAAAATCCCCAACTAGGGGGTTGGGGGATGCAAGTACTTTGAAAAAAGAAGTGCAAGAAAAGAGACCATCTGAAGAGCCTACCCAAATTCTAGAGTCTTCTAGCAACGGGTCCAAGTGGATTTGCCCTAAAAGGTCCAGCAAACAAATTAAAGACTCACACTCATTTTCCCTTAGTTCCCTTCTAAAGCCCAAGTTCTGGTTCACACCATTTAGACACAGCGTTCCCAAATTAGATATAGCTTCCCCCTTAAATTGGTCTTTAAGTGGGGTTCCCCTACACAAAGATCTTCCCAGAACAAAATTTTATTACCTTGTCCCACATCGAACCGAATGGAATTGAGGAAAGTAGGGTAAATTTCATGAATTGCCTTCCAGGGAGAATTTCAAGAACCATGAGGGGAAACTTTTGCATCCCAGCCATTTCCATCCACCCCATGAATGCTCTCAATCACTCTGTGCCATAGTCTGTAACTCTCAAAGGGAAAGCTCCAAAGCCACTTACCTAGTAGAGTTGTGTTCCTTATCAGGATGTTCCCATTTCCCAATTCCTAAACCCCCTTGTTCCTTAGGTTTGCTAACATGCTCCCACTTGATCAAATGGTCCTTCCTTTCCTCTCCTAGATCCCAAAGGAAATCTCTCATGTATTTCTCCAATCAAGGTTATTCTTCCACCCAACGAGATATAATTCCTCTTCCACATAGTGTTTTAAAAGCACAAGGGCCAATTTGCGCCTAGGGCGCAAGGTGTAAGGCCAGGCATGCACCATTTTAAGAAAGGCACAAAATTACAAAAAAAAAAGCTAAAAAAATAAAAAAGTCAGAAAATTCAAAAAAAAAATGCAAAAAATACTAAACATATTGTTAATAAAAAATATCAACTTAAATTTTAAAATAAATGATTTAAAAAACCTATTATCTAAAATTAAAATACATAAACATAACATGTATTATTCAAATGAAAATTTAAAAATAAAAGCGAACATATAAAGCATTTTCAAGCATGTAAAACCCATAATCTCTTTTTTTTCCTTAATTGCATTGCTTCAAGTAGTTAATGTGATGTAAAACATATTGCATTCTTGATTCTATGAGTCGCCATTGTACCACGCCCCTCAAGGCAAGCCCGAACAAGTCTATGTTAGGGTCTGAAATTCTTATTTCTCACATAAAAAATAATGATTTTATAACTTTCATTGCCTTTTAAGAAGATAATTTATTGCAATGAATGAATGAACAACATTAGAAAATAGGGGTTTCTCGGAGCTTCGGACTTGTTCGAGCTTGCCTTGAGGGGCATAGTCGGGGATCAAGGGGCGGAGCCCCAGCCCAGCTATTAGAATAAAAAAAAAAGCGCACACCTTTTGAAAGGGGTACGCCTAGGACCTGGGCGAGGCGCATACCCCAAAATGCGCCTCGCCTGTGCGTTGTGCCATTTAAATCACTGCTTCCACATGGCTAACTTCCTATCAAACCTTTATAAGACTGGTTTTCAAAATCCAACTGACCTAGGGTTTCCTCCTAAAGGTAGACCTAGGTAACTAATTGGCCAGCTTCTAATCACCCAAGATCTTAGAAAATCTTATTAGTTCTCCTTCCTCCAAATTGACCCCTATAATACCACTTTTGGTCCAATTTATCCTTAGCCCTGTCACTCCCACAAAACTATTCTACAACAACACCTCCAGATTTTCCACCACTACCTCATCATTTCTTTCATAGAAAAAGATGGTGTCATCTACAAATTGGAGATGGATAACAACTGCTTAATTTCTACCTACCCTCCATCCTCTAATAAGGGCTTGACCATTAGCTTTTGCCACCATTCTGATTAGAACTTCTGCCACTAGGGTAAACAGGAATGGGGATAGGGGATGTCCTTGCCTAATTCCTCTCTTAGCCAAGAAGAAATCCTTTGCACCCTTTAATCCAAGATCTCCATCTAACTCCAAAGCCCAATATTTCTAATGTTTTTAGGAGGACTTCCCAATTAACCAAGTCATAGGCTTTTTCTAGATCTACTTTACAAACCAGCCCCTTTTCTCTACCCTTTCTTCTTTCAATGACGCATTCATTGGCCACTAAGATTTGATCCACAATCTGTCTTCCTTCTACAAAAACACCTTGGAATGGAGAAATGATCGAGGGTAACACCTTTTTTAGTCTTCCTGATAAGACCTTTGAACAAATTTTGTAAACACTCCCCTTTGGAAAAGAATTCATTAAAGACTTCCAAGATGTCTGATTTTACCATATCCCAACACTCTTGATAGAAGGTCATGGAGAAGCCATCCAGCCTAGGGACTTAGGACCTATCCATTGAAAAAATTGCTTCCTTGATTTCTTGCATGGAAAATCTCCTTTCTAGAGAGAGTGATTGCTCTTCTGATAGAACATCCCCTTCCAACTTTGGCAAGTTTGACATCACTCCACGTGGACTTGAGAAAATTTCCTTAAAATGATTTACAAAAATCCTTGTAATCTCCTAACTCTCTCTTACCACTTGAC